TTACTATTACTATTACTATTACTATTACTATTACTATTACTATTACTATTACTATCGCTAATACTTATGCACTTTCTGTCTCTGTTTTGTTTATTGTCTTAACTAAATTTCAGTCTCTGTTTATTTCCGCTGTTTAATTAAACTCTCTGTCCGTCCGTCCGTTCATCCGTCCGTCCGTTTTATGATATTTTTTTTTGGCTTTAATGAGGTGTCACCTTTTCCCTTTGGAGTGCAGATGACCGCTAGCCAAGCAGTTGTCGCAACGAGCGAACTGCACGTCTGCCAGCCAAATACACGTATGTATGTGAGTATATAAATCCATAAACATACAGATAGACGTACATATATGTAGCATCGAGTGGAGCAGCGCCAAGTGTGTGTGTTTGCCAATGTCCGAGCGTTCAGGCTAAAGCGAATCATGCAATGAAGAGAAACATATATACAATGCAAAGCAAAAGAAAAAGAAATCAAATCGTTGCGCAGACGCTTCAAGTCAGTTGATAGTTGGAGCTGGTCACGCTCGGACCGTACGCAAAAGCAGCTCTGCCCACTCTGCCCAGTCTGCCTACTCTGCTTACACTGCCAACTCCGCCTACTGCGCCCACTTCGCCGTGGCCCGCGATTCCGGATTTTATTTTCGCGCTTTTACTTTCATTTCGTCATCTCGCTGCGTTTCATAATCTCTCACGCAATGCTCAAGATATCGCTGATGTTGCTGCTGGCCGTGCAGCTGGCGCTGGGCCTGCCCCTGGCGCCTGCCACCCCGGACGGTGCCACGCCCATCGATGCACAAGTCTCGGCCGCCGAATTCGGTGCACTCGATGCGTTTGCAGAAGACGCGGCCGACAGCTCAGAGAGCTCGGCCGCCAGCGAGGCGGGCTTCAAGGTGCGTATAGCCAAAGTATTCTGTACAGTGAACACACGCCAAGCGAACTCACGCACAACAATCAACAAATCAACAGATCTCGCTGCTGCCCGAGCCAGCCAAGACAGCCGAGTCGGTGAATCTGGAGCGCGAGGCTCTGCCCTCCAAGGTGCTCAGCGCCTACGACAACACACAGCAGAAGCTGACTGATCTCACGCACGTAAGTGACTTATCACCGATTACTGATCACTGACTGCGAATCACTGCTGATCACTGTTGCTACTGCTGGTCACTGCGGCCAGTGACTGGTGATCACTGCTGATCACTGCTGATCACTGCTGATCACTGCTGATCACTGCTGATCACTGATTACTGATCACTGATCACTGCACACTGCTGATAACTTTTGATCACTGCTTATCAATGATCGCTGCTAATCACTGACCAGTGAGGATCACTTATGATCACTGATTACTGATCACTGCTAATCACATATCCCTGGTCACTACTGATAACTGCTGATCACATATCCTTGACCATAGCTGATCACTTTTGATCACTTCTCTGACCACTGCTTATCACTGCTTATTACTAATCACTGAAAATCACTTGTGATCTGATTACTGATTACTGATCACATATCCCTGATCACTGCTGATCACTGATTACTGATCACTGGTGATCACATATCCCTGATCACTGCTGAATATAGCTACTAATGTCTGGTGATCACTGCTTATCACATATGCCTGATCACTGCTGATCACTAATTACTGATCACTGTTTATCATATATCCCTGACCAATGCTGATCACTTTTGATCACTTCTGATTATAGTAGCTAATGTCTGGTGATCACTGCTGATCACACATGCCTGGCAACTGCTGATCATATATCCCTGATCACTGGTGATCACATATGGTTGACCACTGCTGATCACTTTTAATTATGATTATGGCTGCTAATGTCTGGTGATCACTGCTTATCATTGACTACTGATCACTGTTGATCACAAACCCCTGATCAATGCTGATCACTTTTGATCACTGCTGACCACGTCTAATCATTGCTTATCACTGATCACTGAGGATCACTTGTGATCATTGATTACTGATCACATATCCTTGACCACTGCCAATCACTGCTAATCACTGCTGATTACTTTTGATCACTTATCGCTGTTCATTTCTGTTCACTGATCACTTTTGTTAATTGCAGCCTGTGCCCATTTTGGACAGCATCAGCGAGCATGAGAAATATGGCAACAATGGTGACAAGTTCGACAACATATCGCGCTCAATTGTCAATGGTTATGAGGCCTTCTCCAATCTTCTCAACAGTTTCATACAGGTAAGTTGGCCTCCCTCCCCTCTCTCTCTCTCTCTCACTCTCTGTATCTGTATCTCTTTTCGTGTGTAAATTGTCTGCGCTTGCGTTACTTGATTCACACGTTGCATTGCACAAGAGCTGCCTCGCCCCAGGCCCCGGCCGTCTCTCTGTCTTGCCTTTCCCGCTTCTGGTTTTGCTTAAGGTTCCGTCCGAAGGCCGAACCTAAACAAATAGTCGTAGCCATAACTTATTTAATAGCTCTATGAAATAGCTCAACATATTTATGGCTCATGATATGATCAATCGTATATGCAAATATTTTTCTCTATGTTTTGTATAAGATTTCGGTTCCCTAAATGGAAAAGCTTCAACATTGACCTTACGTAGAACTTGCTCTGCTCTAAAGATGAACAGGAATACGTCTAGCTTATATTGCTTATATATGCTGCTATACCTTCCTACCGTATTTCCCAATCAGTCTTGCCTTTTCCTCCACGGCTTTTTTTGCCTTTGCTCTTCGCAATTTCTTGACGAATTTTTTAATCTATGTAGGCCTTTGCACCACGTGTACGAAAACGTAACTGTTTTCCACAGAGTTTTTCAATCAATGTAGGCCTTTGTTCCACTACCTCCTTCACACAATTTTCACAATCAACGTAGGCCTTGACTCTACCGACTGGATTTGGTCGCTGACATCACAGTTCCGTCCGCATTCATAAGTTATTTCTACAGCTGAACACATTATTTGAAAACAGAAAAAAAAATATATTTAAATTTATTTTCCGAAAGCAATAAGTAGTTGAAATTATATAATCGATAATGTACTCTGGAAAAAAGAAACGTTATGCAAAAGGCGAGGCAGAAAATTCGCCTTTTACCGTCAATACTCCACATTCAAAATGGAATCGTAATGTGCTCAAGCAAGTGCACCTTGATGACAGCGACTACGAATTCGATATGGACGACTATCAGGCCCTGGGCACCGCTAGGCACTATAAGGTTTTGGATATATTGAACAAGACAAATCGTTTGGGTTATATGGCCGAGGATGGCAATGGTGATGTTAGCGATTCTGAAGTAAGCGATTAGACATATATGTATATCCATTGGTTCAGTCCGTTCACAAGCTGAGAAAGAAGAACTTGTTAGCTCTCCGTCCCAGCCAGCACTGTCTGTCCGTCCAAGATGCTTTGTATAGATGTCTATGAATACGTTAATATATGAGTCCGTGGGATCCATTGATCCATTGGCCTATAGACTTATTCATCAATGGGTCGTTGCTTGATCCTTTGATCCATTCATTTATTGAATAGAATGTTGAATAATGGATCAATTATTCCATTAGAGCTGATACCTTGATAATATCATTAATTTATCAGTGGTCCGTATATCCATTGATCCGTAAAGCCATTCATCTATTAAAATCTAGATCTTTCTCTGCCAACGAATCAGCAAGATACGCTTAAAAGCATACTGGAAATCCTCTTAGCTCTGTAAAACTCTTTTATTTATGAACTGTGAATGTGCATTGCATAGTCGGTTACACCCGACTCTCTTTGAGAACGCAACTAACTCCTCGACTTGTGCAGTTCGTGGAAAAGATCAATCCTCCGTTGAGAGTGATGCCGCGGATTCGTATGCACAGTCAAAGGGAAAGTCATCGTAATAGGCCTAGTGGCACTCGCCAGATCGCCCGAAAGATGGTGGAATTCATGGTCGAATATCCTCCAATAAGGCCCAAGGCCAAGGTATTGCGCCGCGTGCCACTCAAATGTGAGAAACACTTTAAGAAATTGAGCAAGCTCATTGCTCGTGGACGTAAATCACCCAAGGTGCTACCGGAACCTCTACCGGCTTTGACTTATATAAACGACCATGTCGTCGAGCTGTTTGGCATGCTTTCTTTACTATTTATAACAGCATTATTGTTCCTGAGCTATATGTACTGCAAGCCTCGCAAGCTCTCATTTTTTCATCGTCTGTTGCGTTTGATAATTTATTATATTTATGATAATTCTTGTTATGATCGTAGCTACTTTTAGGCCTATCTGTAAAATTTTGATGGTCTAAATAAATGCATGCAAAATTATCGATTATGCGTAGTCGATAAAAAAAAAATCTCTTGTTTTTTCTTGGAATATATGCATACTTTTGACAATCGATGGTATCTCATGCTGCCTCTACTACGTGCCCTTGCTCTATCTATCTATCTCAGAGTTTCTTTACTTTCCCAAATCTCATCTAATCTAATTTCTATGTTCTTAAGTGCAAATACTCCGACTATGAGCCTAGTCTTACGCCTCTACCTCGGCAACTTTCCCTTGCTGTCGCCTCCTTTAGTCCCAGTAGGGACTGGAACAGGGTCTTCAGATTTTTTCAGCGCTTCCTTGAATTCCTCCCCAAGGTAGAGCTCGCCTAGCAGCCCCCTGACTCTGAAGATTTCAATATGAGACCTATCTACCTACAATCCACTTCAGCAAATATCAATATCAATATTACGGAACGATTCATGTGAATATATTGATAGATATATTGCATAATATGCACAATAGATTATTTTCTTACTTTTCATCTTTTGCATTACAGAAACCCAAGGAACTGGCGCGCACCGTTTCGAAGGGAATTACCGCTCAACTGGATATTATCGGAGGCAAGCTAGTGGGTCTCTAAGGAAGGAGTATTGAGAGTTGGAGCCACAAAAATAAAAATATCTTTATATTTGATATATTTCTTTAAATTTATTATTAATTTTTTTTTTTTATAAACTTTATTTAAATAAATAGTTTAATTTATTTTATAGCTTAAATAGAACTTTTGTTATTGATTTTGTTTAGGAATGTGCTTGATATATACGCATACGATAATATATATATTTATATATATTTATCGATATATATCTGTATATTGTATCTATATGCCATATATAAACCTTCGGGCAGTTGTCGTTCCAATAGATCTATATATATGGGGAGAGCTATCTAAACTAGATGAGCACATCACAATATGGATATACCAGAAAGCTAGTTGGATAAAGTGAATTGAGCTGAGGCACGCACCGTCGCTTACAGTGAATACTGAATAAGAGGGAAATACTAATTAGACGAACGAACGGCGAGCTCAGCTGGGATTTTGGATGATGCATCACTAATAATTATTATAATAAGGCGTACGGAAACTAATGTTTAAATTAATTTTTGGCACATTTCGCAAAAGAACTTGAACAAGTCGTAGAAGAAGAAGAAGAAGAAGTAGTAGCTGATATCTATATGCATCTATATAGAAGTAAACATTATGCAATATATAGCCTTGATCGAGGCGTCGCTTTAGAAATTCTCGCCGCTAGCTACAATCGAGTTCAATCCTCCCAGCTGCTGGTGCGCGTCTGCGGATCTATGGATGGGGAGTACGACTTGTAGGTGTCCGATGCCCGCTTGTGCTTCACGGTGCAGAACAACAGCATCGAGGTGATCAGCCCGAACAGCTGCACGAACGCGATGCCCAGCCCGATGGCGCCCACCACGTTCAGCTGGCCGTTGAACCAGTTCTGCAGCGAGTGGGCGCAGCCCTTGTCCCACCACAGCGACGGATTCTCCGATCGTCCGCAGTCCACACGCATCGCGCCCAGCCCGTCGCCGGAGCCCTCCGTCAGCAGTTGGCGCTGATCGTACAGTTGACGGCAGCAGGAGTCGGGCACCCAGCGCTTGCCGCTCCATGACTGAATGTCGTACCAATCCTCAAATGACGAGACGCCGCAGCACTCAAACTGTAAGAGAAAGTGAAAGGGAGCGAGAGAGGGAGTGAGAGAGTGAGAGCGTGAGCGTGAGAGAGTTATGTGAAGAAAGAGAGAGAGAGAAACAAGACAGTTAACTCTTATCTACATACTCTATTCACAGATGTGGTGGCTTCCTTGCAAGAGAGTCAACTCTTCGTGACTCCAAAACTGTATAGCCTAGTGGCTCTACAACTGTAATAGCTATAGACTGCTAGTTGAGCACTGGTTAGCTTTGTAGATCCATTAGCAACATCTACAAAGCTCTCGTTCCTTAATGACTTTTAACCCATATACTACTTTACTCCAAATATTTTTCATGCCAAAGTTTTTAACAGAATTTTCCAAACAACGTAGGCCTTTGATCCACTTATTACCATAGAGAACTTTGCAATCAATCTAGGCTTTTGCTCCACTACCTTTTTTACACAATTTGCCCAATCAAAGTGTGCCTTGAACTTTGGTAAAATCAAAGTGTTTGGAAATTAATTTCTATTCGCTTAATTAACTGCGGCCTTAGCCTTAGTTTTTCTCCACACACTCTAAGATAATGGTACTATCGCCAAAGCTGTCGTCTGGGGTCCTTTCGTATCAGCCAGAGCTAAGCAACCTACAATTTGTTGATAAAGTTTGATGGTCTTCAAGCTCTACAATTCGGGTCTTAAATCTAGTTGAACTCTTTGTGTTTTTTTTCTTTTTTTTTCCATTGTGACTTGAATCTATCCTTAACATATTCATATATGTACCTTCTTTGGCTTTGTGATTCTTAAACTGTAGACTCTACATGGTAGCTTCAAGACGGTGCTGTGAACTACTATTGGTGATTAGCTTAAGCCAACTTTGCACTTACTATGACATCCATACTATCGAAGTATTGCTACTTGGTCGAATGCTTGCCGCAGTGGCTCTAAAACTGTGCGGCTATTGTAACTCTGAACTCTGAAACTCTGTTCAAGTCTTGCGCCCAGCTACTGGTTCAATGAGCGAAGGAGAGAGAGACAAAGAGTGATAGAAGGCCAGAGAGAGAGACAGAGAAGGAAAAAGAGAGATAGAGAGACAGAAAGAAAAATAAAGATAGATAGAGACAGAGAGAGAGAGAAATAGGAATATAGCTGAAGTAAGGCCTGTTAATTCATTGGCTCCCTGTGGCTCTCAAGCTGTAGTATTCAGGATGCCTTTAAAACGGTGATCACAATCAATAATTGCTATTAGCTAATCCTGATGCTATTGTAGACTCCCTTCTCATATAGTAGGTAAACGAATAGAGTATATAACTATATGCTAAGAGAGATAGATAGAGGGAAAGAGATAACTCACCGACTGCTGAACGCTGTCCCAAATGGCGGCCACAGACGGTGCCACCAGGGAGCCCCGATCGCTGGCATTATAGTGACGCTCGATGCCGAAGCGCAGCTCGTTGGCCAGGGTGCGTCCGAGGCCGCCGCGGAAGAGGAACGCAATGGAGCCGACAAGGAACTCGCTCATGAACAGCATCACAATCAGCATGAAGTACTGCAGTGGACAGCCGATTAGTTTAGACAGTGGTCCCTCGATAGGGCTGTCGCCCCCTTGCACTTACCAGCACGAGCAGGCAGCGCGACTGCACCCAGGCCCCGCAGCAGCCGAAGAAGCTGACCACAAAGCCGATGCCACCGATGCACATGAAGATCGTGTCCGCACTGAGGCCCGCATGCTGCGGCAGCAGCGTTGCGTAGCCCTCGTAGCTGAGGCGCAGCCAGAGTCCAGCGCCGAGAAAGGCGCAACTGCAAAGCTGCAAGCAAATTAAGATGAAACTTATCGATAATTATCGATCGGATGTGATGGATGTAAAGCATAGAAGAGAAAATGAGAGATGGGAGGCAGAGATATGATCGATTGACGATGACAAAAGATATCAACAATCGATACAATTTATCGATAATTATCGATTTAAAGTGAGGAATACGGGAGATGAAAATGAGAAATGTTGAATGGTGGTATGGATGCTAAGATGGGCAATTGGTAAACGATTGCGTAAGATGGCAACAATTTATCGATAATAATCGATAGCAAAAGAGGGATGAAAGAGATGAAAATGAGAGATGATGATTGAAGGGGTGGAGAGGCAGGCAGACAGGGGTTTTAGATTGCTATTGGTAAACGAATACGAGCAATAGCAACAAGGTGTATATTGTATCGATAATAATCGATAGCTATGGCTAGGGATGTAATGCACCAAAGAGAGGAGGATGGGAAGATGAGTGATGGGAATGCGATTGCGAGCGAGCTATAGGCATAAAATACCAACAGACAACATTTATCGATAATAATCGATAGCTAGTAAAGTTTAAATAGCATTAAACAGAAGAGAATGAGATATGATGAGAGATGGGTGGGGGGCAGATAAGCCTATTATCGATGGATCGTTCGATAGCAACGGCTGCTGCAACAGCCTAACAAAAGAGTGGATGGGAGAGAGGATGGCGGTGAGACAGAGATAGCGCTAGAGAGTTTGTGAGACAATGGAGCAACTTTGACGTTTCCGCTGCAGACGAGGCTGAGAACTTTTAGCCGGCGTCGCATCGATTTGATGTGTTGTTGTCCATTGTTGTTGTAGATGTTGTTGTTGCTGCAACAACAGCATATCCGGCCCTGGCCGCGTTGTCAGCTGGTTATACAAAAAAAAAGAGAATAGAAGAAAAGCTAAAATAAAACTCACCCACAAAATGATGTTGAGCCAGCAAAAGGTGCGACGGATGCATGTGTAGCCGGCGTTGCCCATCTTCCAGCGAGCAGCTAAAGAGTGTGAGCGAGAAAGAGAAAGAAAGAGAGAGAGGGTGAAAAAGAGAGTGCAAAAGGGAGACAGACAGAGAGAGAGGGAGAGGGAGAGAGAGGTAGAGTATGCATAAATCAGGCGCAAAGACTTGAACGCGCGTTGCGCTGCATTCATTAGATACATTTGTATCTATTAAAGGCGCGCTTTTTTTTCGGATACCACAGGGAGCAAATGTGTGTGAGTGTGTGTGTGTGAGAGAGTGTGTGTGTGCTGTATAAATAAATTCTAATTCATAAATTTCAACAAATTATTTTTGTTTGTCTCATTTTTCCATTGTATTTCCTTTGCAGCGATGTAACTGGATAAATGCCAGCGGGAGCTATATGAATATATATTATATTATATTATATACAACCACATATATATGCATGTATGTATGTATGCATATAAAAAACTATATATATATGCATGTCTGTATATATATTAAGCAATTGGCTAGCCGCAAAAATTGCAGCTGTTGCATATAGATACACTCACACTCACACACACACACACACATACATATGTCAAGCTTAATAAATTGACGACCTACAACAACAACAACAACAACTGCGATTATTATGAAATTCTACAGCTCAAATTACAGAAAAACAACAGCAGCTACGGGGGGCATTACTTGGATCAGAGGGAATACAAAATAAACCCATTTGCTTACTCGTTTTCTCCAGCTGTGTCTAGTTTTAGTTTTTCTCTCTTATTTGCCTTAGATAGTAAGCGTAGGTCAGTCGAATCACAGTTGACCCCAAATTCCAATTGAATTGTTTAGCTTGCATTAGATAGGGACAGAGAGCGAGAGAGAGAGAGAGAGAGAGAGAAGGGGGAAGATAGAGAGAGACCTACTCTGACCTAAGCTTGACTAGAAACATAAAACTAATTATAGCTAAACAAATGAATTGCTTGGGACTAGGCACCGCCTAGTTAAACAGACGAAAGTCTGGAGCTAAGATGAGATAGACTTAATAGAGGCCGGGCTGAAAGATTCCTCGGAAAATGGGGAAATTTTGTGGGCCTTAATGCAAAAGTGATGAAAGTATAGAAAGAGTTGAGAATACAGACAGATAAAGGCAGATATAGAAACCCTATGGGGGTATATGTAGAAATGAACAGATATAGATACGAAGAAGTCGAAGCCGGAGATATAAGAGGGACATAGAAGATATATATAGGTATATCTTCTATATATATATATATATAAACATTTAAATATGTAAATAGAAATTTGTGGAACAGCTTAGGTAGTTTTACTTAATCTAATCATTTAAAGGCATTTCAATGAAAGTTTTTGCTATACGAGCTAGAAGTATGGAGTCAAGGATTGATTAGAAATATATTTATAAAGCTATATAGAGTTAAATAAATATCTATATATTTATAAATCAAAAAAGCTAGGTATATCTTATACATAGATATAGATAGATCAACAGATAGCAAGACAACTCTGGGTACAGTAAGTGTACATCAGATATAAAGGTATCAAATTAGTTAAGCTTTCAGGTATTTAACTAGAAGAGTAAAGCACATAAAAGTCAGGATAGACAGTATGAAAAGTTACTCAAGTTGAGAATTCTCTCTCTCGATTCCAGCTCGACATGATTCCTCGAGATCTCATTTCGGCACGAAAGTTTTGCCCTACTGCTAATTGAGTTAGTGACAGAGACAGAGGTAGAGGCAGAGACAAGCAGAGGTAGAAGTAGAGATCGATGCAGAAGTTGGGGTAGAGGCAACGGCAGAGACAGAAGCAAAAGCAGAAGCAGAGGTAGAGGCAGAGATAAATGTAGAGACAGAGACAGAAGCAAAGGTAGAAGCAGAGATAGAGGCAGAGAAAGAGATAGAGATAGAGGTAGAGACCGAGATAGAAGCAGATTTAGAGGTAGAGGTAGTGGTCGACAGTAGCAGAAGCAGAGGTAGAGGCAGATGTAGAGACAGAAGCAGAACCAGAGGTAAAGGCAGAGGCAAGAGCAGTGGTAGAGGCAGGAGTAGAGGCAAGAGTAAAGGCAGTAATAGAGATTGAGACAATTGCAGAAGCCGAGGTAGAGGCAGATGCAGAGACATAAGAGAGCCAGAGGTAGAGGCAGTGATAGAGGCAACGGCAGAGGTAGAGGCAGAGGTAGAGGCAGAGGTAGAGGCAGAGGTAGAGGCAGAGATAGAGCAGAGGTAGAGTGGTAGAGGCAGAGGCAAAGGCAGAGGTAGAGGCAGAGGTAGAGGCAGAGGTAGAATATATCATGGAAGTGGACAGGCAAGGGCACAGCTGCAATCAGTTTTCATTAAAGCAAACACAAGTGGACCATTTCGTGGCAAAGGGGTGGTCGCCTGGAGTAGGCGTGGCGGCAGCGAGGGCGAGGGCGGGGGCGTGGGCTAGGCAAACGAAAATCGCGAGCACGCGCCAAGGAAGCGGCAACAAGTGTCAAGCAAACGTGTTGCATGCAACTAGAGCAACAGCAGCAACCGTCCAACTGCTCATAATCATAATGATGACAATAATAATGATGATGATGATGATGATGATGACGACGCTGATGATGTTGATGTTGCCTCAATGAAATAGTTGCAAATAATGCGCAACATGGGCTTGGGGGCCACAGTTGAGCTCTGCGACAAGTGCGAACAATTGCTGTGCGCAACAACAACAGCAACAACAACAGTAACAACATCAACAGCAGCAACAACAACAGCAACAACAACTGTAACTGTCGCTCGCTTATTTTTCAATTTAACTCAATAACGCGACGGACTTAATGCCATTTGGCGCTGGAAATTTGCGATTTACTTATGCCCACTGCCACGCCCACAGTCACAACACAGCCCACTTCAACTAGCAACTATCTAGCTACGTGTGTGTGTGTGTGTGTGCGGATGTGCGAGAGTGATTTATGTGCACACATCAAAAATTGCCCAGTTGCCCAAATGCCGTTGCCATAGTTCAGAGGTCTCAAAGTTGCCAAAGCTGTCAAAGGTTTAGGCCAGCGAGGGGTGCGGGCACGAGTGCTGGACGAGTCAAGGGGACAGAGTGTGGAGGCAGCGAAAGCGCAGAAATGAGAAGGGGAAGCTGTATGCAAAAGTAGCTGTTGCTGTTGTTGCTGTTGCTGCTGCTGCTGCTGTTGTTGCTGCTGCTGTTGCTGTTGTTGTTGCTGACATGTCCTGTGTTGCTATGTGGAAAGAGATGCTATATAAAGGAGAGTATATGTTGTTGCTGTGTGCTATATTGCTGTAGTGCAAGAGAGTTGCTGCTGTTGCTGTTGCTGCTTTTAAGCATAATTGTGGGAGAGTGAGAAAGAGTGAGAGATAGTGAGAGAGAGAGTGAGACATAGGCCAAGAAGTTTGAGTAGAATGACAATTGACAATGTAAAGCAACTAATGTTGCTGTTGCTGTTGCTGCTGTTATAGGTGTTGTTGCTGTTGCTGCTACTTCTCTACCCTGTGTAAAGAGAGACACTAAAATGAGCTGTTGCTGTTGTTGCTATTGTTGCTGTTGCTATTGCTATTGCTATTACTACTGCTGCTGCTGCTGTTGCTGTTGCTGTTGCTGTCGCTGCTGCTACTCTACTCTGTTTAAACAGAGACACTAATATGAGCTGTTGCTGTTGTTACTGCTATTGCTATTAACACTGCTGCTGTTGCTGTTGTTGCTATTGTTGTTGCTGCTGTTGCTGTTGCTGCTGTTGCTGCTGCTGCTTCTGCTGCTGCTGCTGCTTCTGCTGCTGCTGCTGCTGCTGCTGATGCTGCTGCTGCTGCTACTGCTGCTGCTGTTGCTGTTGCTGTTGCTGTTGCTGCTGCCACTGCTGCTGCTGTTGATGTTTCTTCTTCGTCTGTTGCTATGAGGAAAAGGAAGTTTCGCTGCTGTTGTTGTTAGCTGTTGCTGCTGCTGCTGGCATATCCTGCATTGTTGTCGGAGGAAATGCAATATATACACAGTATGAAATGAGCTCTAGCTGTTGCTGCTGTTGCTATGGGTAGGATGGACATGGCACAGTGAGTGTGTAAAGAGAGACAGAGTTCAGTTGAGAGTTGAGTGAAAGAGACAGAGAGACATTCAAAGAAGTTTGAGCGGAATGAGCTGGTGTTGCTGTTGTTGTTACTGTTGCTGTTGCTGTTGACGCTGTATTGATGTGGGTATATGCAAAGAGCTGAAATTAGCTGTGCCTGTTGCTGTTGTTGCTATTGCTATTGCTACAATTGTTGCTGCTGTTGTTGCAATTTATGCCAAATATTGCTACTGCTGTTGGGCCAAGAGAGAGAAAGAGCCAACAGTGAGCAGAGTGGCAGACAGTCAACCGGAAGTCATCCGCTGTTGCTGTTGCTGCTGCTCCATTCGATTGCCCATGTTGTTGCTGTCAAGGCTGTTGCTGTCATTCGTATTCCTCCATCAGGCGGAATGCTTGAGCGAAAGGACAACGCGTTCGCTCAGCCTAAGGCAAGTGCTATCGTTGCTGTTGTTGTTGTTGTTGTTGTTGCTGTAGCTGGCAATCGCTGATAAGCGAAAATTAGATTACGCCGGAAGTTGAGTAAAATGACAGCACATTAATGCATTATGCGACAGGCGATGCTTATGATATTGCTGTCAGACGAAATGATAGAGCAGCAGCAATTTATTGATTCTATAGCAACAGTTGCTGCTGTTGTTGGTGTTGCTGTTGCTACTGTTGCTGCTGCTGTTGCTGTTGCTGCTAGTGTCTAGATTGATAAATGAAGTTTGTAAAAGGCTAAGAAAGCGCATGTTGCTGGCAGCAGCTAATGTTGCTGTTGTGCCTGCTGCTGCTGTTGCTCAGCAGATTGTTGCTGTTGCCCAAATTGGAAAGTAGTGAAAAGTAAACTTTAAGAGCTAACTGAGAGCAATATCAGCAGGTGTTGTTGCTGTTGTTATTGCTAGCATAATAACTATTGCTGCAGCTGTTGCTGTTGCTGCTCTTTCTACCCCTGCTCCTGCTGCTGTGGCAAGAACTGACATTAAATTTCCCTCTGGTCAGAGTTTGCTCATATTAAGCTTAAGCAACTATTGTTGCTGCTGTGCTAACTAAGGCAACCGCTGCTCCTGTTGCTGCTGCTGTTTATGTTGCTGCTACTACTCCTATTAGTATTGTCACTCTAACAGCAGTTCAATTGCTGTTGCTGCTCAGCTGACTAAGGCAACAGCAGCTGTTGTTGCTGCTCCTGCTGCTGTTGCTCCTGCTGTTGCTGCTGCTGTTGCTGCTGCTGCTGCTACTCTACCCTGTGTAAAGAGACACTACAATGAGCTGTTGCTGTTGTTACAGCTATTGCTATTACTACTGCTGCTGCTGTTGCTGCTGCTGCTGCTGCTGTTGCTGCTGCTGCTGCTACTGCTGCTGCTGTTGCTGCTGCTGCTGCTGTTGCTGCTGCTGCTACTATTCCTGTTAGTGTTGTCGCTGCCACAGCGCATATTACTGCTCCTATAGAAAGCTAAGGCAAACGTACAAAATTAGGTTCAATTGCTGTTGCTGTTGAGCTGAATAAAGCAACAGCTGCTGTTGCTGCTGCTGCTGCTGCTGCTGCTGCTGCTGTTGCTGCTGCTGCTGCTGCTGTTGCTGCTGCTGCTGCTGTTGCTGCTGCTGCTGCTGCTGCTGCTGCTGCTGCTGCTGCTGTTGCTGCTGCTGCTGTTGCTGCTGCTGCTGTTGCTGCTGCTGCTGCTACTGTGAGGAGCAGAAGACATCAAATTTCCCTCTGTTCGAGGTATAATATTAAGATCAAGCAACTGTTGTTGCTGCTGTGCTGACTAAAGCGACAGCTGCTGCTGTTTCTGCTGCTGTTGTTGTGCAACAGGCAAACTATCTAAGCTGCTTTGACACTGACAAAAGTTGCTCTAAGACGAAATCTTTTGCTGCTGTTGTAGCTATCAAAGCTGCTTCTGCTGCTGCTGTTGCTGCTGCTGCTGTTGCTGCTGCTGCTTCTGCTGTTCATTTTCATGGCCAGCAATTGTCGTTTTGGCTCGCTAGACCGCATTTCGCAGACATTTTCACTGACGCTTGACCAGACGCCAAAGTTGCTGCTGCTGCTGCTATCGTTGTTGTTGTTGTTGTTGTCAAAGTTGCTGCTGCTATCGTTGTTGTTGTTGTTGTAAAAAGTGTCGCGCTTTACAGCGAAAATAAAGAAAAAAGTTTTCTCTTTTTTGCGCCGTCTCTTGGCTGTGCTCAAAGCGGGCCAATCTATGGCCATCTATCCGGCTTCAAGTTGGTTTGTTTTCTTTGTTGTTGTTGTTGTTATTTTTTAAGAGCTTCACTCTGACAACATCCCCCATTCCGCCTCTACCCGCCACCCGCCAGCCATTCCCGCCCCCCGTTCGGCCTTTATACACATTTCTTTTCAGTTGCAAATTACTTCAAGTTGCTTGGAATCTGGTTTTCTGTGGCGGCGGCAACTGTTGCTGCTGCTGCTGCTGCTGCTATTGCTGCTGTCAATAAACTGTGCAAGCTGCTATTTTGTTGTTGTTATTGTTGCTTGCTGCTGTTGCTGTGCATAAAACGTCTCTAGAGCTCGCATAATAAATAAATAAATATTTACAATAAATAAACTTGAAACGCGGGCGTAACAAGTGAGCTGCATAAATGCTTAGCTACAGATATACATATATACATGACTACATACATACATACATACATGCATGCATATGTATATGCACATATATTTAGTCTATATATATTGGCAGCACATACTTTTTGTTTTTATAACGCTTCGATGTTCGTTCGCACACAAAAATAATAACAAATGTCACAGAAAAAAAAAAAAAAAACACTCAAAAAAAAACTGTAAAATATTTAAACACTTTTTTAAATATTTTCGACACCCTTGTTAATTTTTTAAATATTTTCCAAATATTTGTTTACTTTTCTTTTGCTTGTTTTACAACACTAATAATTCGTTAGGCAAATGCAGCAGAGCCAGAAAAAAATTTGATTGAAATTTGAGTTTTTTATTTAATGAATTTCTTTTTATTATATTTGTTGATTTAGTTAAATTTATTTATATTTATTATACGCTGACTCGACGCGTGCTGCTGCTGCTGCTGCTGTTCGTTCTATGCGCTCGCAGCGACTGTTCAAAATCGACTGAAAATTGTAAACTGAAAATTCTTCGCCGTCGACGTTAAAAATAGTCACGAAACACGCACGAGAGACAGCGAAACGTTGCTGCAGCTGCTGCCACAGTGGAGCATGTGGCAAGCTCTCGCTCGCTCTCTCTCTCAGGCTCTCTCTCTCTCTCTCTCTTTCGCTGGCGTACGTCCGTTGCATACTTATGAATGGGATTTATGTTTAGGTTTTCAGTGTCACGTTTTGATCCACATTTCAGAGGCAAATCGAGCAGAGAAACGGCCCATAAAAACGAATTCTACAATTCGAGTGAGCAAATTACAAAAAAAAAAAAAATTTGGAAAAAAAAAAACAAAAGCCTATCCCATATATTAAATGCTATAAACAGCCATAAATCGCTATAAAATCGCGCATACGCCACGTTGGACGAACAAATAAATTAGCCTAAAACAAGAAATGGAAATTGAATTGGAAATGGAAATGGGAATGTGAATGTGAATGGGAATGTGAATGGGATGGCACAGCAGCGGCTAGACAAGTGCTGTAATATAATTTAAGAGATTTGTTTAATAAACAAATGCTAGCCATGTGACAGGGTGTATACGACTAGAAGATGCCCTGTCGGACAATAAACAGATGACAGCTGTTTATTTAGAATATATAAAATATTATTTTTATTTATTTTAATCAAAAGAGCACACTAATCTTGTGTATACGACTAGCAGATACCCTGGAAAATCATATATATTTAATATATAGCTTATGCATGCCCTTTAGAAGAACGTCTATTGAAATTAGACCAAGGCTTGATCTCTTACATGCATTAAAGATGCGAGTATGCGACTAGAAGATACTCTGTAAAGTCACATAACATTTTGATGATATTCTTTTGAATTTATTTGAAAAAAAAATCTTGATCTCGACCATTGCAATTTATACGAGCAGAAGATACCAAAAAACTTTCAGCTGATATATGAAATAGACGTATTTCTTGTTAAATTAGTGTTTCTAATTAATTTTAACCGAACATAAATTAATGCATGCCTAGAAAATACCCTGTAAATGAACAAATTAAGCAGCCTGTATGTTTATTAGGTTTTCTTATATTGACTTTAGAACTAATTCAATTAACTACTATAATATTATTGCATTTAAAAGTTTATATGCAGTATATGACTTAAAGATACTCTGTAAAAAATGCAAATCAAACTGATGTATATAATACTTAAATGTGTGGACTCTGTGTGATTAAATTACGCTGAAAATTGCCTTGAAATAGACATCATCATGGGTACATGACTAGAAAATACCCTGTAAATCAACAATTGGTGTATATGAAATTTTAATAATTATTATTATTATTATTATTATTATTTTTTTTTTTAAGATTTAACAAGTAGTGCAGTTAGGGACTTTATGTCAATTTATTCTAATCCTGAGATATATCCAACACACTTCCACTACATATAAATAGTATAGCTCTAATGTGGCCTAATGATTATTCCATCTTTTGTTCAAATTGAGCGCGTTAGTATCAAAGCTTAACGAGAGCTCCCTTTACAAAAGCTCGAAAGCTTTAGTGACAACGAAAGCTTTAAGCTCTTGCGTAAAATGATTTAAAAGTGAATATAAATTAGCCGATGCCTTAAAGTAATAAATTATCCAACATATCAGCTGCACTGTTTCGCTTAAGAATAGTCGATCTTGCTATACCCTGTAAATACGACTGCATCCACAATGTGAGCATATATGAATGGCAGCAGCAGGTAGCACACATTAATATATACCCTATGTTATCTTAGCCATTTAGTTGGTCAGCCCATTTGGTGCACTTCACAAGTTACAGGGTATGGGAGATTATAATAATTAATGTTTAAATTTGGAAACAATTTGGGAAAAATTTGCGTTAATGATCAAAGTGAAAGCTGTGCTCTTACAACTCCGCCGTTACGTAAATGATGGATTGGATATGTGCAAAATAACGTAAGACCCAATTATGTTTGATTGGTAATTTCCGAAAATAAACTTCGGAAGTGTAAAGCTTACTGAACAGCTGTGCTAAGTGCAGTGATAGCAGAGCTTTATACATATAACAGAACACAAGGAAAGCTATGTAACAGTGTACACGGCTGCTTACGTTAAGTTACGTTACGTTACGTAATAATATGATACGATATCGCTATACATGGTGTATATATGATTTCCATAACTCGTATAAATTACAACTGGAAAGGTAAGCCACCTTACGTTGCGTTACATTCCGTTTTGTTACGTAATGTGATGCCTTTATTATTAAATGACAACATGTAATAAATGTTATATTAATTCTAGATACGTTTCGCCAAGTTACGTAGTTACGTTTCGCTACGTTACGTAGTTACGTTTCGCTACGTTACGTAGT